TTTCTATATAACAAGTAACGCTCGTCTGGAGACTCATTCAGCTCTTTCTCGTAGAATCGATGTGTCTTCACTACCAATAAACTGTTTATTCAAACATTTTCAAAAATCGATTTTAGATTTGAGTTCCACAATCTTGATAACCGTTCGGTCAACTCTTATAAAAAATACCTCTTTTTGTAGAAAAGTGTTCCTCTGTCTAAAAAAAAATGACCGACAAAAAATTTTGAAAAACTAACGACGGATTCGAATTTCTCGACCTCAACTACTCTTCGATCAACCCTGATAAAAAAATGTTCATTTTATATCTTTACCTAAGTCTTGGATCAATCAGTGAAGTGCGAACATACAAGCAATCAATCAAAAAAGTAGACAATTTATTTCTATTAGATTCTTCTCTACGAGAAAAAGAATATTATTATTTTATTTTATTTTATTTTAGATGATCTAAAGTCATGTATTTATCAAAAAGTAAGTACTTAATTTAATCTAATTTTGTTGCATTTAAGTGGATCTAACGTAAGTAGATATACTTAGTGAACAATAAATAAACAATTCTTCTTATTGGTTGTTATTTATTCGTTAAGTACTTTGCTTTATTTTATTATTTTAGAATTTCTAATCGGAGATATTTGTACCCCGCATTGGGAGTAGAAGAGGTAAGACGTATGGTAAAAAAAGTAATATCTTTACTATATAACACAAGAATATGATCGTTTACAGTCGCAAACGCTCCGTATACGATCTTCGTTTTCTTCAGTATTTCTCTGTATACGGTGATGGAAATATATGGTCCTAATACTGAAACAGGTAATACGTAAAAAGACGGACGTATACGGTCGTAAACCATCGTTTACGGACTCTCTAACGCCCGACCTGGGCACGTAAGAAAATGAAAGATAATTTCTTTTTTTTAGAAAATTATGACTTTTCTTGTTTTTATTTAGGTCGACTAGATTATATAATAAACGTGCCACTACCTGATGAAGTGGCTCATATAGCTATACTTAACAATGTGTTAAAAGAACTATCAGTACAGGAACAGGATATTCCATGTTCGTCAATAAATGAAACTAGAGGATACGGTGGTACTCTGATAAAAATTATTAAATATGCCAACAAACTAGCTCAACAACAGTCAACGGAAGATGATACTCCAGCTGAAGTTCATGAACATCACTTTAATAAGGCTATGCTATTTTTCAAAGAGTCTGTACGGTATCCTATTGATTAAAAGAAATAATTTTTTTTTCCAAGTAAATAACTTTTTTCAAATAAATATAAAAACTTATTTATGTTTTCACACTTATTATCTTCATTTATATCAGTAGAAATATGTTCAAATTGAATTGATATTTCTCTTACTATAGTAAGATAATAATTATTTGAAAATTGAATAAATAATAAATTAAATGGTGTTTTATAAAATAAGTTAATTGAATTTCGATCAAATGGAATTTTTTTAAACATTGTTATTCTTTCATGTCTTTTTATTATGATGTGAAATTATAAAATGAGCAAAGATTATATAATGATGAAATTGAATTGATTTTAAAATGAATATTAATTTTACTTGATTGATATTCACGATAATATCCAGTAAAAGGTTCGGGACATAAAAGAATAAAATCATCATGGTTCATATGATAATTCATAGGAGTATACACTATATAGGCCATAATTTTGACAGGGATTATTATTAAATCGAAAATATTTATGTTGCACTCAACATTTTGAACCGAATTTATTTAATGAAAATGGATTCGATGAACATGAATGTTGATATGTTGAATGACAAATACGGCCTGAATAACCTTGATCACAATGATAAAATTCTTTTGATGAATTAATATATTTAAAACACTTTCCATGTATTCCACATTGATTTGAACAATTTATTAATAATTGAGATTTTTCTCATGGAATACGAATTTGTGTTGATATACGATTAACTGGTAAAAATGAAAATGGAATAAACAAATATCAACTTTCATAATAACTTAATGTTAATTTTTCATAATTATGTATTACTTGATTTTGATCGTCAATTAAATAAATAAATATATTATAAATAGAATGTTTATTCTCATGTGAACCTAATGGACGTATTTGAAATTTACATCGATCATCATAATAATTAGGTGGACATAAACATTTCTTTTCAAATGATTTTTCTTCAAATATAATAATTCCTCGATTACAATATTCAATTAATTCAATACTAGTTTTGATTTCCAGAGGTTTTTTTGGTTTAATATTGATAGACTGTTGAGATGATAATAATGTTTCATTTATTATATTACATTAATTGTTGATGATTAGTCGATGAATCATCACCTTAGTCGAACTTTTTTTTCTAACGGTTTAGATATTGATCAACAAGTTATTCAAAATCGTAATGAGAAATATTTTAAAACATTACAATAAGAATTGTATGTTTTTCTATATTATCAATTTAATAAAAATAAACAAGATGCAAATGCTTCACAAGAAGAACAATATATATGGTCATATCAAAGATAATATATATTTTATTGTGTACAGTAATCATTTTACTTGATATTAAACGACATAAGATTTTTTTTTGAAAGATTAGATTCTTATGCATATACGTTATATAAAGAATTCTTTTGAATATAGAAGAAAAACTAACAACATCGAAAAAAAAAGATAAGAACACGAGTGGTTTTATCTGTTATTTAATAATTATAAAGTGCATGGTGTGAGTTTAGTTGAATATTGAAACAAAGTAGTGTTGCAAGAAGAAAAAAAAGAATCATTAATATGTTCTTCATCTTTTTTGGATTAATTCTTAGTTCAATTGGAATTGCCTCTTCTCATGTTATAAGTCGTAATCAATTGAATTACAATGATCGAATCATTAATTTTGAAACTGTTGGAGGTATTGCGGATAATAGTTCATTAGATACATGTTGGGCTAATTCACATCTTCTTAATCAAACATTTGCATCTATGCAAAATGGAGATACATTACTTATACCATATAATAAAACATTTTGGTTAATGGGTGGTATTTATGCACGTGGTCTTGTTAATGTAACTATTCAAATTGATGGAATTCTTAAATTTTCTGATAATCAAACTGTATGGCCTCGTGATCCTCAAACACAACAAGTTCATGAATGTTTCTTTTTTGAACAATTAAGTTATGTTACATTTACTAGTTCATTACCTGAAGGAAAGAAAGGTATTATTGATGGATCAGGTGCACATTGGTGGGGTTTAGTTGAATATTTATTAATTGCTGAAAATCGACCACGTTTAATATCAATCTATAATTCTACTAATCTTTTAGTTGAAAATATTCTATTAAAAAATTCTCCATATTGGACATTTTTAGCAAATGATATTGCTAATTTAGAAATTCGTCATACAGATGTTGATGCACGTGTCAATCCAGATATACATTATCATGATCATAATGAATTACAAGCTTTTAATACGGATGGTTTTGATGTTGCTGGTACAAATGTATGGATACATGATTGTAATATATGGAATGATGATGATTGTATTGCAGTTAAAGAACAAAGTTCAACTAGTATTCATTCTCCTTGCAGTGAAAATATGCTTTTCGAACGTATTAATGCTTCTGGTGTTGGTTTAACTATTGGTTCTATTGGTCCATCAGCAAGTCATACGTGTGTTCGTAATATTACATTTCGTGATTCTACAATGTATAATACTTTTAAAGGTATATATTTAAAATCACGACCAGGAGCACTTGGACATACAGGTGAAATTACAAATGTTACTTATCAAAATATTCTTATTAATAATGCTTCACAATGGTCAATATGGATTGGACCACAACAAGCTGGCTATAAGGATGCTTGTTCACTTCTATGGCCTTTTGTACCTGGAACACATTGTCCTATTCCAGTTGGTATTACTTGGAACAATATTATTTTACGAAATATTACTATTAATGGTCCACAATTAAGCCCTGGTGTTATATTGGGAAATTCAACAAATCCAATGTTAAATATATTATTTGATAATGTACTTGTAACAAAACCTGGTATTCTTCCGTGGGGTACTCATTATTATGCTTGTGAAGGTGTAGAAGGTATTGCACAAGGAAATACTGAACCACCACCACCATGTTTTAAAAGAAAACCATTTTAATTATATTTTTCTTAATAGTTCTTTCAAAATAAATAATTATATCATACGTCATTTTATCATTAATTGTAAAAGTAAATGTTTTAGTTTCGGAAGTAATACTTTAAAAATAGAAAGAAAAGATTTATTTTTTCTATATTAAATTTATATAGAACATTGATAAACAATGTCCAAGTATAAAAATATTTTTAGTATTAAATCTCAAAATAAAAATGAATTTTATCGATATTCTAATTTTTATTCTCTTCACCATTTTTTCTGCTTATTTACTATCGGTTGTCCCCTATACAGAGTAAAAAAAAAATTCCTTTTTTTTTTATTGACAATGTGCAACTGCAAAGGAAGAAAAAGAATGGAAATCGGTTTCTTTTCTTTTTTTCTTTCTTCTTGAAAAACAAAATTGAGAATATATAAAAATAGTATTTTTTTAGGATTTCAATCAACAAATATATAAACAACAATGTCGGATTTAAAGTAAGTTGACAAAGAAATTGATTATTCTGATTTTTTTTATTTCAAATTCTAATAGACAAAATTCTCCTATGTTTAATAAATATTTTCAAGATCGACGTATTCGTCGATATTTAATAACTGCTGGATTAGTAAGAATTCATTTTTTTTCAAAACATTTTATATAATACATATTTCTGTAGATTAATCGTCATGGTGATATTTTACCTCCTACATCTGAACAAATTGCACGTGCACGACGAATAACACAACAACGAATTGCAGATAATCCGTAAAGAAAAATGTTTTTTTCATATCAAATTTAATCATAAAATTATATATAATTTTTAGTGCAAAACAAGATGATGATGATGGTGAAGAAGAACAAAGTCGAAATGGAACTAATCGTTCACCAAGACGTTCTCGTAAAGAAAAAACTAAAGTTTGTTAATAAATCTTGTTATTGAATAAAATTCAATATTCATTATAGAATTCAAAACCAATTCGACGAGGTGTTTCACGTAATTTATCAAGTATTCGTCGTTCACCAATATCAGTTAGTTTGTTAATTAATCATATATATAAATATATTTTTTTTTAATATCTTAGACAGATCGAAAACGTTCGCCAAATCGTGCAAAATCTGCTCATCAACGATCACAAGATTTCTCAAGATATTTTATTAATAATTCAGCTAGAGCAAAGGTAATAAGTTTAAACTAACTAAAAGTAAATTATATATATTCTATTATTTTCTGAATAAAGTCACCGACTAAAGAACGTTGTCGAGTAACAATGATGTATTACGGACCACAAACGAATTTTGATTATGATAATTGTTGGTTTCTACCACACGGCGATGAAATTACTGTTTCACAACAACATTGTGGCGGTGAAAATCTTATTGTTTTTAAAGGACATGTTAAACCTAACGGTAAAATTTGATAAAGTTTTTTTTCAACTAATATTATTTTTTAGAAAGATTTGCATTTGATTCTCGACGTCATCCAGATTATCCATTTGCATTGGCTCTCTATGTAAATGGTGTTGCTAAGAGTCGAATATCAGTTTGTTGTGAATATAAACATAAACGTAATATACCATTAGATGGAAAAAATGGTCTATTTGGTATTTGTGATGTAAAAAAAGTAACACCATGTGAAAGGTTTATTACTGTTTTGTTTATTGATCTTTTGAAAATAAATTTCTTTTTTCTTTTCTAAGTTGTCAACTTCGACAACGTAAGAAACAAATACAATCAAATAATGATTCATTTGAAGCTCAATCATCTCGTAATCAAAAATCAATTGTGCCACGTGTTTCATCGGAGAGACGATCTTCCTCTTCAACTAAAAAACAAAAACCAGATTCATCTCGTAATTTAGTAGTATTTAAACATCATTCTCCAGAAATATCTCGAACACCAACACCACCGTCTAAAGGTATCTAAAAATATGTGCCATATTTAACGCTATTAATGTATTCATTCTAGAAAAAAAAGTAAAAAGATCAGTATTATCTACTCAAACTGTACAGGTAAGTCTAATTTCTATGAAATAGAATAAATTCTAAGTATTAGGATTTTTCGATTGAAAACTAACAAAATAAAAAAATTTACTGTAGTTCGGCATTAAATTCAAGATAAGGAATTACTTAGACTGTTGATAGAGTTTACTGTGAAGTATGTCACATAAATTTTAAAGTATATTTGTTTCATACAAATATTGATTATTCACTATATTGTATTGTTTGCATTCTTTTTATTTTAGGATGACTCTATTAAATATGCTCATCATCCAGTTACATCACAAAGTAATGATAATGATGAAAGTTATACTTCAGATTTCGATGAATCGAATGATAATGATCTTCCAACATTGAATGATCGATATGTAAATTATCTATTCTTATTTTCTTTATAACACTATATTCTTTATAAATGAATAGGGTCGACCACGTATTTCTGAATCCAATTCCATTGGTAGTATACAATTAATTTATGATTAAAAATAAACATTTTTTTTAATTACAGACGATCAAAGACGAAGTCATACTTCATCGAGAAATTCAAGAAAACTTGGTTTTTCAGATGATGATGATGATCGTAGAACTCCAGTACCACTCGAAAGAAATCATACTTTTGATCGTTCAACAAAAATATCGAGTACTATGCCGAAAAAATTGGATTCTTCCGGAGACGAAGATAATAATCGACCATTTAAAATAATGACTGGAAAGAATAACACTATTAATCGTACAAGACAATCACCACCTAGTATTCACAGAAAATCTGATCTTTCGAATGATGAAGACGATCATCATACATCCAGCGGAAGAAATAATAGCCGAGGCCACTCAAAAAAATCACCACCTAATATACAAAGAAAATCTGATCCTTCGGATGATGAAGACGATCATCGTACACCCATCGGAAGAAATTATAGTCGAGGTTATTCAAGAAACTCACCAACTATTACTCCGATAAAATTTGATTCTTCTGAAGACGAAGATAACAAACGATTTATTACTACAGTAACTGAAAAGACTAATAATCTTAGGCAAGCAAGACAATTACCGTCTACTATTCAACGAAAATCTGATTCTCCTGAAAATGATAATCAACTATCGCATAGAAAGAACAATAATTATAATCATTCAGAAGATGAAAGTGATCATTATATACCTAAAACATCAACTGATAGAAAAAATATTACTGAAAGTCCGCAAAGTCCTTTGTCGGATCTATCAAGAAAATCTAATGAAAATAATAATCGATTTTTATCAACAAAAACAACTGATCATGAAACTGATGATCGACGACCATTCTCAAGTTCCATAAATCGTAATCATAAAGAATCACCAGTTCGTCGCACATCAACAAGTTCAACAGAAGTACCAAATGATACTCATAAGAATAATTTCGATTCAACTTTTGATACAAAATCATGGTTTACTGATGAAGGTTCTGATCAAAAATAGTATGTATATTAAATATTGAAAACATTTTAATTTTAAAAAAATACTTTATTATATTTTTAGAATAACTATGATAAATAAAAAGTGGAAGATAAAAATGTATTTCTATTACGTAATTATTGCAAACTTATTATGAACTTATTTTTTACGTTTGTTTTCTTTTACTAACTGCTTATTTTCTTTTATTGCATTGGAAAGAATCATCATTATATAAATATCTTTTTTTATGAAAACTATATTGTATATCAAATAAATATTTTATTAACTTCTATTTTGATTTAGATATGCACTTTTTTTAAAAATATTTACTACTAATCCAATTCAATTTTATTCGTGATTTTATATTACAATAAAATCAATACATATATCAATAGTGCATGATCGATAAACATAGTAGGCTATATCTTCATTCAAAAGTCTATAAGAATATCATTGAAAAACATTTCAATAAATGGATATTTGTATAGTATTGTTATTTAATTACTTGGTAGCTGTTCTTAGATGAGTGAATAAGCAATTAATATCAAGTCTCAAAACATATTGTATTAGTCAAAGTGAGATTTTCATTTATATTCTTGATTTTTTTTTGTCTGGGAGTTCTATTGTTAAACGGTACATCTCTGAAAAATTTCAAGCGTTTTCTTTCATATATTTGTATTCGTTCTAATAATTTGAAGATGTGGGTATAAGTGTAGAATGGATACCCACACCCTCAATTTGGCAATGGCGCAAAACGCCGAACAGAATAAAAAAATATAACGAACAAATCGTCTAAAAAAAGATGATTTAAGTTGGAATAGACCAATCATATTGGTTACTACATTTCACTTTTTTCAGTCTGTTTGAGGTCAAAGTGGCGAGATACAAACAATGAACAATATATGTATATATTGCTCTGTCGTAGAGAAAAGCATCACAGTCATAATAAAATATGAACCGATCAAATATTCATCTTCTGGATTTACCTGATGAAATATTACTTATTATTCTGAAGAAATTGAACAATATGGATGTACTTTATTCGTTGTTGGATATTAATAATGGACGACTTAACATTCTTGCACAAGAAAACACATTCACCAACATTCTGAAGCTTCCCAATATGTTTTGTGATCATTCTGTAAGAGATCGATTCTGCATCGATATATTACCAAGAATTCATCACAATGTGAAATGTTTTATTTTTGATTTAGATTATATGACACGTTTTCTTCTTGCCACTGACTATCCGAATCTAACTGAACTTAAAATTCTTCATTTCAATGAGCAATTCGCATTAGGTTATCTTATAAGTAAGCATTTAATATGAGTTTGATTAGTTAAGAAAGAATAAAAGTGTTAAAGAGGATAGATTATGATATGTTTCATTTCATTGTTTTCTCCTTTAGATCAACCATCACTTCGATCTATTTTCCAAGAACAAATTACAAACCTTACACTAATCAATGATGATGAAGAGAATAGGATAGATCCATTGATAAATTATACTACAAACGTATATAGTCATATCTTGACCTTCTTCAAAAATCTAAAAGAATTAAATATCATGGGACCATCTCCTATACCAATGTATCCAAGTTTATCACTTCGTTATTTGCCATCGACTACTTTTTCATCTCCGATTCTTGCTCATTTACATATCAATGTGACTACTTTAGATGATTGTCTTTGTTTACTTGATGATCGACTTGAAAAATTGACAACATTGTGTGTTAATGTCCATTATATAGACGAAAATTCAAGAATTGTTCACAATACGGTAAGTTTTTGCAAATAATTTTATTTATGACATAAAGATTATTACTGTTTTAATGGAGTTAACGATTGATTTCTAAAAATTCAAATAAGAGATCGAATGGTTAAGTTTTATGTTGACGAGGTCAAAAAAACGAATAAATGTTGATGAACATATAAAAATCATTGACATTAAATTTGTATTTACTAGTAATTTGAACTTAATAAAGGTATCAATAAAATTTTTTGCTAGAAATTATAATTATGTAATATTTTATCAAATAACTTTCATGAATGATTAAATCTTATCATATGCGAATGATCATTAGCATAGAATGGAACGAAAGTTTATCTATAAAAACAATTGTTCCATTAATCGAGATATGATTGGAAGTTTGTCTGAAACTTCAGTTGTTTTTTGAACACTCGTTTATTATGCTGTAAAATGAGATAGTCAAACTAATGGATTTGTCTTTTTTGATCATTCACAGATAGAATATAGATCATACACTATATGTAAAATAATGATGCCTCTGACTTGATATTGTGGATTATCATAAAAACATTTCTTTCTTTTTGTAGGATAAATTATTTAATCTAAAATATTTCTCATTAAAATCGTTCGATCGATTTAAACAATATGATAAAATTCTATCACTTATTCGTCGTATGCCATATCTGGAAAAATTAACTTTATATCTTCATATAAAAGGTCGAAATACAGTGATTGATGGTACTTTTATTCAACATGATATTTTGGATTATATGCCTCAACTTCATTCATTCACTTTCTGTATTTGTACTTATGTGAAAGCGGTTGATTTATCCTACAAGTTATCTAGTGAAGATATTCAACAAACATTAACAAATACTAAACAACAACAAGTCACAAGTATAGTCAATTATATTCAATACTGGTTCGATTCAAGCTGGATGGCTGCATGCTCGATTTTCTCACTTCCTTTTCAATTTGATTATCTCAAACATCTTGGCAATAAATTTCCAAATATTGTATTCAGTTATGTTACGTTTTTATTTTTAGAAGATACTAATCCGTTCCAACATGAATTTTTCGTTCGAATTTCCCGATCATTTCCATTACTGAAGTATCTACATATTTGTAATGGAGAACCTCAAGTATTAGATGATCTTGTGACATGTTCATCTGACAATTGTCAATGACACTCAATTATTGAATACCATCATCTGACTAAACTCGATATGATAAATGCACATCGAGATTATGTTGAACAATTTCTAAATGAAACAAAGGCATTCGTACCTTGTCTGACGGAATTGGAAGTCTCTGTTCGTCATTTAGAAGCTGTAACAAAAAACTTTACAAGAAAAGAAACACGACGCAATTGTGCTAATGTGAAACAAATAGATACGCTAGATGAATTGACACGTACGAAAGATGTTTTTCTTTATTTTCCTTCGTTGTATCAGTATATAGATGTATTCTCACTTTGATTTATTTAATAAAAACATGATAAATATTGTATTTATAAGCTAATAATATTTCTCAAATAGAAAGAAATATCAACTATTAATGATGAGTTCTCATTTTATGATGCTGCAGAGTTATAGGTAAAATGAAAATGCTCCTTCCGCAATTGTTTGAAGACATACAAAAAGATTTGATTTCATTTTAAATGTAAAAATACTCCTTACTTTTTCAATCTAATTCAAATTAGAGAATAAATAAACATTAGTTTCTGATTGCGATCGATCTAAAGTTCAAAACAATTTCATTAAATTGATTTGATGTATATGTTGTATCAAGTTGTTATCCGTCTCAGCTCACTTAAACTACTTTCCTTGGTATCTGATTCATTTTCTTATGGTTTTGAACGAATTGAAATTACTTCAAAATAGACTAGAAGAAAAACTAGCATCTTTAACTTGCTGCCGTTTTAATATACTATCAGGTCAATGAATGTCAAAATATTTCATCTTTCTATTAATATACGATTATCTTATGATGCAGTTGATAGAAAATCTCGTAAAAAAGAAGGAGCATTTTTTGTACAAGTACTTTCTGAAAAAGAAATTGTTGTTGTATCCAAAGCACCATCATCAAAATTATCGGGTTCTGGTCCGCAATCTATTCAATCATTCGTACGAACGCCATCATAACAAACACTTTTTTGTTTAGTCTATTATTTTCTTTTTTTTTCTTTTTTGTATTGATCTAGACTAAAAAAGACTATATGAACTGTTGATTGACAAACATCTCATGTATGTAAATAATGATAAAAAGATATATGAAATCTATAGATTTTTTAATTATATATATATATATATATACTAGATTATTATAATGTAATTCTTCCCACTATGAGATAAAACAATTGATTTAGTTTTTAATAAAATATTAATTATTTGTAACTTCTATTCTTTGAATCTAAAATTTTGCTTATCAACTGTTTGATGGAGAAATATGCTTAAGATTATTCAATATATTTTTCTATAAAAAAAATTTTAATTGAAATAAGTCAGAAAAACAGTAATCTTAAATAAGATCTTCTTCTGTCAAACGGCTGTTTACCGCATCAGTTAAAACTATACACATAATATGTACCAAAATAAGATTAAATTAGCACAATCATATTTAGTGAAAAAATTGTAAAGAATATGATTGAGTACAAGTATCCGAAATGAATTATTCTCTTAGTACTTCTTTATCTTTCCGATTTAACAATATCATACACATCAATGTCAATGCAACGCAAATATCATATCATATTATTATCAAAAACGTTACTGGTATCTGCTCACTAGAATAATAGCAAAAGTCACGTGAAAATACAAAGAATATAAGATAAAAACACCTTTCTATTTGATTATTAAAATGATATATATTATATATGACAGCTGTTTATTGCCTTAACTGTCTACTGACTTTGCAAATTTTAATTTGCTAATTATCATCGATCACTCTAATTTTAGCCAGACAAATATATCATGGTTAACAATATAGAATCTCTTTATCAATGTCACGTTTGAAATATTTTTTTTTCTATCTCACAACACATATGGCACGAACGAACTATCCTATATGATCAAAAGCTATTAATAAAATGTGAATTTCATTCATCAAATTTTAAATGTTTAATCAATAAATGATAGAACAGAAAAATAGATGAGTATAAATGTACATTTAAAAGAAGCAACAACAAAAAAGAAATGAAACAAAGACACCTCCCGCGTGTACAGTTATAAGTTAATTTCCGTTACAATAAATGTTTGTTTTTCTTAGCATACACGGCACTGCCGAAAAAGTGCTAATATAATTAAAAAAAAAAAAGAAGAGAAGAAAAACGAGAGCCAAAATTCATCATAATTTTGTTGTAAATAAATATTGATATCCCAAAGCATAGAATAAACTTCAGCAGCGCAGCAGCTAAGATGAGAAATAAAAACAAAAAAAAGAATCACCGGCTGTACTATTCGTTGTTGTCGTGTGTATATATATATATATATTTTTGTTTGTAAGATATTTTTTTTTCTGCCACCGGACAAAACGACAACAATAATAACAACAAAAGCTAGTTATTGGAGAAAAAAGAAAAAGAAACGAAGCTTCTTTTGAATGTAGCCAGACATTCGGAGGAAACGAAAAGAGTAATATACATGAAACAAAATATAAAATTGTCTTTTCTCTTTTTAAATCAATTGATCACTGTTCTATATCTGTTGAATTATTTAAAGATTGTTTAAGATTTGAAACATCCATGATTTCATCTTTATGATCAACTAATGAATCATTAACTAAAACATAAAAATATATTTTCTCATTCTTATAAACAATTTTGCTTACCATCATCATTAATCGTACTTTCGGTCATATCACGATAAAATGATTCGAGATCTCTATCATTTTGTCGTTGGTCATCGGTATTATCCAGTTCATTTGTATCACTTGCACTTGAAATTGATGTCGCATTATTATTATTATTTCCTTTAAAAAAAAAAAGAAAGAATAAATATCATGCCTCATTACTCATTTATATTAAAAAAATATCACCACAAAAAATGACTAGGTAAATAATTTATTTCTGTCATGTGAATTACTGCGTGACGCCCATTCAAGGATAAAGTAGAAGGACATATAATGTTACATGTTATAGGAAAATTTCAAGTAAAAAACTCTCTTTGCATGTTTAAATTAATTAAATGTTCTACTTCTGAATATTCTTACCATAAAAATCCGAGTGTTCATTATCTGGATAACATTCTTTAATAGGTGATGTTGATGTATCAGTGGTTGTTGTTGTTGGTGGTGATCGTGCAGGAAATTGTGTTTGTTGTGAATATGGTGTTGAAAATGTTGGAAATAAATTTTGTTGTTGTGATCTTATTGATGAGAATTGCATATGATTCATTTGTGTTGGATTATAAAAACGTATTTTACTTGGATCACTAATTGTTTTACATAATTTTGTTTTATTATTTGAATTATGGTCACTATATGGATCAATACTAGCTTTTCGAGTTAATGCTTGATGTTGATTATTAACTAGATAAGCTCCATTATTACGTTGTGGTGTTGATGTTATACAACTAAATGATGCTTGAATACTATTAACTTCATTTGTTTCTTCAGTTGTTGAATAAATATTTATTGGTGATTTATTTGGACGACGTATTAAATTTGAGTCCATTAAACTATTATGTTGTGGTTCAGAATTATATTTCATTAATGGTACGGAATTTGTTGAATGATTTGAATGATATAAACCTAATGAACTTTTCATTGGTCTAATCGATGATTTTATTGAACGACGTTGTGGTGTATGACTAAATGTTGATTGAATTGTTTTATATTCAATTTTACCTAATGATTGAAGCATAGCTGATAAACGTCCACGCCATTGTAAAACAATAACACGTTGATTATCAATAAATGCTTCATGTTTATAACAACGATCAAATAAACCAAGAAGACTATTACATATGTCTGGTGGAGAAGTTGTTGTTAATTGTTGATAAACTAAATAGAATAATAAGAATATTTTATTACCAAAAAACATTTTTTTTTTAATACTTTTTTGTAAAATTTGTAGAATTAATTCTGGTAAATCTTCTTCACTATTATTTTCAAGTTCAAGTTGTTTGGAACGTATGGGTGTTGATAAGATTTCAGTTAATTGTCCAATAACATTTGATAATTCAATTTGTCCATTATCTATATCAGTCAGGCATTGTTTTAATAATATTGAACGTTCTTTTAATTTTTTAATATTTAATAAAATTTTTGCACATGCACCATCAGTTATATTAAGTTTTTTTAATTGCTCCATAGTTAAATTCATCATTTGATCATATGTCATTTGTGAAAAGAATACATCATATTTATGTAAACGAAGATTTTTTAACCATTTTGGTACATCTTAAAAATAAAAAATATTATTTAGAAATTTAAGATTTAGATTTACCTTTCATGCCTGTATTTGGTTGTAAAAATGTATTTCGTCCAGGAGTTGAATTAGCATCAACACCTAAATATTGTGATACATCTTCGGAATTTTGATTAGGTTTGATATTTCGATAGCGAAGTGAATAGAATTGTCCTAATGGTTTGGAACTTTCATTTGTATGATTGAAATCATTAGTTTGTTCTTGAGATTCTTGTTCATCTTCATCACTTTTAGCTAATGTTGATCTATGTTTAAATTGTTGATAAGTTGAATTTTTATGACGATAATCTGAAGAACTTGCTGGTGCTGGAGCACTTAACACACCTTTTAATGGCATACGAGCTGGAACATGTAGTGTGCCATGTTCCGGTATTGGTGATGATGCTGTTTTACCAACAAATGTGTGTTTACTATTTGATTGTGTACGATCAATAAATGAATGTGGATGACTATGAGAAGATAATAAATTTGAAAATTGACTTGCCATAGGTGGTTCAGTTAAATCTACTCCACTATCATTTGTTTCAAGACGTGTTAATTGTTGACTTATTGATGTATGTGCACCTTCTGAAACGAAATTTTTTAATGATTGACCTTGAGATCTTATTGATGAAAAACGTTGTAATGGTTGATGATAAGTTTGTTGTTCGTCTGAAGGAGGAGGAAATTTTTTTGTTTGAATTAAATTACTTAATTTTGGTATATGAGATAATAATCGTGTTAAACTTGGATTCGTTTGAATAAAAAAATATATTTGTTGACAAAAATTAATTAATTGTTGTTCTGTATAACTAAATTTTGTTGAATTAATAAGATTTAAATCAA